GGCAGGATGCTAGGGAGGTGGGGCAGGTGTGGCTGCTTCCACAATGGTGCAGAGGACTGCAGGAGTGCTCATGCTGATAACTCGGATCAAAACACATACAAATATCTATAGAAACACAGATTCTACTTGTCTTTCCACTGACAATTATAATCCCAGAGAGAGCATTCACCAAGGGACAGCAAGCACCCTGGTACTCCAACACTGGACACCTTCCTTCTTGGGTTCCTGTCTGTGGAGGACTCCATTATTTTTTTCAGCCACAAAAGGCGGAGGGAGAGAAGGGGAAGACGGGACAGGCCCATTTCTGGAGCAGCAGCGCCATCCAGCGGAAGCAGTTTCAGAATGGCATACAGTCCATCCAGCACATCCCACGTGGAAGGCCCGGAACTCAGGGAGAGTGAGTTTCAGTGCCCAGAGCAGGCACCAGTAAGGTTGGTGTGGAAAGTTGAGTGTAGGACTACCCACCCAGGGATCCTGAGAGGCCCTGTCTGCCAGGCTACAGAAGTCATGTGGGACAGGTCCCCTCTTGCAAGGGCATTCTCACAAGCTGCTAAATGCTAGCCACCAGGCCTAAACCAGTCAGACACACAGAGGGAAGATGCACAGGCACCAGCTCAGGTCACAGAGGGAGCCCGAGCAGCTCTGCTCCCCTGCACTGGGTGAGCTTTACTCTCCCTGCCCTCCACACCCTGCAGGTCTCAGGGGCACAGCAGGTTCCTGCTCGCTGATGTCACAGCTCCCTCAGCACAGGCGACACCTGACTGGCACTGAGGAGGAGCCCGCACACCTGTCACACTGATGAGCGCCGTTCCCCGCTGGACTGCATCTGTGGTCCTGCGGGGACTGGGTCCTCCTGGCAGGCAGGCACACTGAACAGTTCACCTCTTAATGGCACAGAAGAAGGAAAATGGTCCGTTCCCTACTGGTGCTCATGTAACCCCCTTTCCTCAACAAGCCCCTGTGTTCCTCCACCAGGCAGTTCCTGGGCCACTGGGAGTCTCCCAGACAATTCACCGTCAAAAGTCTGCCACCCTACTTGACTCCTGAGACAACAGGAGGGAGAAAAATGCCCACAGCACCGGCTCAGCAGAAAAATGGCGGAGGCTCCCACAAGCCCTGCCCAGAGGTGGCCACCACTAGGCTCCAGAGCTCTTCCCACCAGGTCATAGCTGCCATGAATCCCAGAGCTCAGACCCCTGTAACTGCCTGTGTCCGGGCCTTCAGAGCCCACTCGATGTGGAGACCCGAGCTGGCTGGGGCCTCCACTGATTTGAGCTCTACAGGGAACATCGTCTTCGCACCAACCTATACCCTCACTTCCCTGCCAAGCCAGACCCGCCCAGGCACATAGCCACCACCTGAGGAGATCCCCAAATGAATTCCTCTTGATGGCAATATTGCACCAGAAATACCATTCTCCTGTTCCCTCCAGTCGTCCCTCCTCCCTGCGTGGAGGAAAAAACACCCAGTGCTGTCCCAACAGATACCTAGCATGGCTGCCTGGTTCCTAGGGACCAGGAGGAGCTAGGGCAATGTACTGGGTGTTAGACATACCCGGAACCCATGCAGTCTGGTTTAAGCACGCAGTCCTGGGCTGCCCTTGAGAACTTGCTCATCGGACTCTCCTTAGGGCACCCGCCCGTGGGGGCAGGGCACCTGCACCTAGCCAGGCCCCACTGTCTGCACCACAAGTTGCTTAGGCTCTCCAGGATACAAGCAAAGATCCCACTGGCTCTCACCCAATCCCATTCTGAAAAGCGGGCGACTTTACACTGTCACTGAACCCTGCCACGCCAGCCTGCCCAGGAGGTATAGGGCAGCCAGAGAATCTGAATCAGTCATTGAGAAGTCATTTCCACATGACAGCTCATCCAGGCAGACTGAAAGGGTATGTAGTCAGAGGTACTGGGAAGGAAGAGAGGGATGAGTTACAGCCATCCCAGGACCACAGGCCTCACAAAACCTGTACTCTCACAGGGCTCCTCCCTGGTCTGTAGATCTAGAGGTCCCACACTCAGGACAGGAGACAAGGGCCACAGCAAACACACTACCTCTCCATGCGCTTGACCCAGGGTCACAGCCTGAAAACTTATATTGCCAGAAGGACACACATATTGGTGATAACTCATGAATTAGGAGGAATCTATCCATACTACATCATACAGACAATTGAACGGAATGGAACAAGAAGGGGTATACATATGCATATATAGACCTGACAACGTATAAGTGACATAGTATCTTTACAGGCAAGTGGGAGCACAGAGGGAGACATCGTTTCCCCCAGGACCCCAGTACAGCACACACTGCTGAAAGGCCTCATGCATTAGGTTCCTTTCTTAACTGGGTTCATCCACAAACGGTAGGAGGGGAGAAGATGGGGGCAGGTGGCAATAGTGGGGAAACACAGCCATGAAATATAAGTGGTCTGTGCCTTCCCCTCTCTCTGTGTAGACCCTAGTAGAATGTTTGTGATTAGGGAACAGTGGGGTGGCAGCAATCATGGTTCTTGTTGCTGGCCAGGGCCCAGCAACAGGTGCCTCCTAATGGGTCTGGATCGGGTCACCCAGGGGTGGGACCTGGGGGACAGGCAGACATGGACAGGAGGCAGAGGAGGGCAGGCCTCACTGGCCGCCATATTTGAGACAAGCAGCTGAGTTGCTGTGGACACTGGCCCTGCCGAAAAACCAGGTGAGAACTCCTGATTGTCTGGAGCTAGACCTAAAGCAGTTCAGGGTTTCAAGTCCGTTCCTGTCCCAGTTGTGTGTTACTTTCTGGCACCCTCAAAGAAAGTCTGCTCTTCATAGGCAAGTGGTCACTGCCTCTGCTGGCTCCTCCCACACTGCTAGGACCCCACCCCTAGGGGGCCCCTGTCATCCAGGCTCCTTCTATTAAGGACAACTGCAGTAGGAGCGGCTCTATGCTCCTGCTGGGACCAGGAGCTCTCGGGAGCTCACAGGGAGGCTGAATGTAAGGATCTGAGACAGGTTCTGAGGAAGGGAAATGGATCAGTTCTGCCTCTGTCATAAGCAGATTGTGCAACTGGCAAACTTCTGTGTTCTTGTAGGAGGAGGCAGGTTCAAGGTTGAAGGAACCTCTTGAGACCCAGAGGTCATCTAAAACAGTGACCCCCATGCACCAAGGCAGCGGGACAGAATCCTGATCGGGACCAAGCCTAGGTCTTTGCAGAGACTTCTGCAAGCCCCACCCAGACATGGCCACTAATTGGATCCCGAGTTCCGCTATCTGCTCCAAGCTGCACACACACACCGGAACTCGGTCCCCTGGCCTTGCCTATGTTCTGGGCCACCATAACCCACTGGACACGGTAGCCCAGCTGGACCCGGATCCAAGGGCTCTGAGCCCTCACAGGGGGAAGCCTTGGGACCCACCTACACCCTCCCTTTTCGGCCAAGCTTGTCCCACACAGGCACACAGCTGCAAGTGCTGTCGGGTTGCATAAACTGCTTCCTCTCCATGGCAGTGTTATAGCACAAGTGCCACCTGCCCTACCCCAAAATGAGTCTATCCTCCGCCCTTCAAACAGCTACAAAATGCCCAGAGCTGTTCAGCAGGAATCCAAAATGGCTGCTGCCCAGCATGACCACTCTTCCTGGCTGAGGGGAGCAGGAGGACCCAACACACAGCACTGGGTACTGCACTGACCCTGGTGGCTGTACACTGCTGGGGGCTGCACGTGTGACCAACGCACAAGGGACGCCTACATGGACACCCCAGCTATAGTAGGGACCTGCACCTAGTCGGGCCGCAACACCTGCACTGCACTTGGCTTCAGCCCTCGGGGATCCATGCAAAGGCCCCACAGGCTAGGACACCTGATCACCCAGCCTAGGCCTCTGCTCCCCTACTGGTGGGACAGACGGCTCTGAGGAGAGGCCTCTGCCAGAGTCCCTACCCCTGAGCCAGTGCTACTGTCCAGAAAGGGGCTGGAGGAAGTAGTCACACTCAGCCAGGTAAGCACACCTTGACAGAGGGTTCTGCTGGTCCCTAAACGCATGATTGTCACCGAGATGCAAATTTTGATACTTTATCCTAACGCAGAGGCAGCCTAGCTCTCTGCAGGGCCCTAGTGCTGGCTGAACCTATGCAGCCTTGGGTCAACTTTCCTCAAGCCTGCTGGACATGTGGAAGCTGGGCAAACCTGACCGTGGCCCTCCCTGGGACCCTGGCTTGATTTCATTCCCTCTCACTCCCACTATGGCCAGGTAGCTGTCTCAGGAGTACGTATCTCGGGACTGGCAAACAAGATTGTCGTGATGGAAGAAATGCAAGAGAAAATCCAGAAAGCCTTCTCCAGTACCCACACACCCTTTCATTCCTCTGCTGTTTTCCATAAAACCAAGACTCCACGTGTGTCCATTTAGATACTACCTGAAGACTCATGACCCCAGGTCTCCCAAT